TTAATATAATTAATTATATAGATTTTAGATATTCTATTTTTATATAATATCTCTAGACTAGCTAGCTAAAGAGCTATTATAATTAAGGGACCTAAAAGAAGCTATAAGGTAAGGCAGGACCTTAATAACCGATTAGGCTACCTTTCTAGCTGCCTTTTTAGGCTTAAACTTAACTAGCTATAAAGAGTAGCTATAGAATATAATTATTAAAGCTAAATATATACTTAGCTTCTTCCTGCTTATATAAGGGTTAATAGGCCAGTTATAATTTAAGACTATAAAAGCAAAGAGATATATATCTGCAAATAGAGTTCTAGAATAAATGTAGGGTAATGGCGAGGTTTAAAGGAATTAGGTTAACTCTATTTATGTAAGTTAGTTAGTAAAAGCTAAATTAACCTAAAGTTAATAATGACTCCACTAATTAAATGTATATATAAGGGCATATAACTAATTAACCTTATGTCTAAGAATAGATAAAGTGATATTAGTAAAGAAGCAGTAATTTAAACTGGGGATATATTATTTATAAATCTATCTTTAGTATATATAGATTACTAACTAAAATTATCTTAAATAGAGGATTAATATTTATATTAAAATTTTAAAATATACTTATAGTATTATTAAGACTATATTATAAACTTATAATAGTATTTAAAGCCTAAATAGATAGATAAATAAAATAAATAAATTAAATACTAAAATAGTATTTATAGTATTATATTAACTATAAATAAAATAATTAAATTAAGAAACTATTATATATTTAGTTAATATATAATACTGCCTATAATAAAAGTATAAAGCTTATATTAATATATATTAATTTTAAATTTATATTAAAAACCTATTAAAATTTATATAAACCTAAAATAATTAATTTAATAGTAATAATTAAAAGTAATAATCTAAAGAATCTATATAATAAACTTTAAATAAAAGTTAAATTTATTAGAAAATAGATATAACAGTATTATAAATTTAAAAAGGTAAAAAGACCTATCTTTTTAAAGGGAGATATAATTTACGTATTTATAAAAAATATTATAATTAAATAATTAAATTATAAACTTAATTTTAAATATATTAAATTATATAAGATTATTAAAAAGGTCTTAAAGAATAACTATAAACTAGACTTATTACTAAAGGTTAAGATCTATTTTAGTTTTTATTTTTTATTACTTAAATTAGCAGTAAATATAATTTATATTAAAATATATAATAAATCTATAGAGATAGAGAGATAAAAAAGCTAAAAAGTAAAGGCAATAAGGGAAATAAAGATAGTTAATAAAAAAATAGAATACCTTATTAAATGGAAAAACTATTTAAAAAGTAAAAATATATAAAAATTACTAAAATACCTTAATAATACTTAAAAACTCTTAAAGAAATTCTATTAACTAAATTAAAAGAAAAAACCTTACCTTAATTAATAATATTAGCTATTTCTATTAATTAAGCCTCTATTATAGTAAAAGACTCTATATTTTTAATTAGTTTTAACTTATTAAGGGTCTTAATATTTTAATAAAGTATCTTAAAATTATATTTATTTAATTATTTTTATTAATAATAAAGATATATTAAGTAACTTAAATGCTTATTAATCTATTACTATTATTATAATAACTTATTTTTAATAACCTTTTCTTTATACTTAAGATAATATTTCTTAATTATAAAATAATTAGCTATATAAAATTAGTAAATATTTAAAAAAACTAAAAAAAGAGTAAATAAACCCTTAAGATTAATAATACCTTTATTATTATACTTTTAGTTATTCCCAGTTTAAACCACTGCTTCTTTATTAATATTACTTTAACTGTTCTTAAATATAAGGTTAATTAATTATATGCCTAGGTATATATATTTAATTAATAGAGCTAGTTATTATTGACTTTAGGTTAATTTAACTTTTACTAACTAACTTATATAAAAGTTAACCTAATTCCTTTAAACTTTTAAACCCTGCCATTACCCTGCATTTATCCTTAACCCTTATATAAGTAGGAGGAAGCCAAGTATATATTTGGCTTTAATAATTACATTCTATAGCCACTCTTTATGGCCGGCTAATAGGCCTAAAAAGGCAGCTAGGAAGGTAGCCTGGTTAGTTGCTAGGGTCCTGCCTTGCCTTATAGCTTCTTTTAGGTCCTTTAGTTATAATAGCTTTTTAGCTAGCTAATTTAGGGATATTATATAAAATAGAATATCTAGATCTATATAATTAATTATATTAATTAAGATATAACTAAAAATAGCTATTTTAATTAGGCTAAATTAATTCTTTAATAAGAAGTTCTTTTTAATAGCTATAGCTATTATATAAAGCTTATAGTATTTATGGCCTATAGCTTCTGCTAGTATCAATTTAATTATATTAATAAGGTTATAGTTAGTTATATAATAGGCCTGATTGGCCTGCAGGCTGTTATATATAGCAGGCATTATAATAGTGGCTATAATTGATGTTAGTAACTGTAACTAATAGTTAGGTTAGGGAATATATTTTGGAAGTGTAATAGACTTAGCCTGGTATTCTCTGTCGATAATGACCTTTTATTAAGGTTAAAAAGGTTAATCTAAGCTCTTTTAGGTAAGGTATAGGAAAAAGGCTAATACAGCTGCCAAGAGGTAAACCTACAGGCAGTATTAATACTGCTTAATTAAGGCAGCAATTGCGCCATTAAGGCAGATAAACCTTATATAATTTTAACCTTTTAAGATATAGGCCTATTATAGGGGCCTTATTGTTTAAGCCTTTATATATAAAGTTAAAAGCTTAATAGCCTTATAAGGCTAATAGTAAGGGAAAAAAAAAAAAAAAAACTTTTAGTTATAATAGATATACTGTAAATAATATTTATAATTAAAAAGGGCCTAATACTTTAGCTTTTAAGAAATATAATAACTATATAGTATAATAAGAAAGCTAGTATTTTTAATTAAAATAATTTATATATAATGGTTATAAGTAGCCTTAAATTTTAATATAATATTAAAGGAATAAGAAGAATATTATAGAATTAAATTAAGATATATTAGGATTATATAAAAGAAGTATAAATAAATAGGTCTTAAAGATAAAATTAAAGGAAAGAAGGAGATTATATTATAACTATATAGAATATAGCACTTATATTATATATACCTTATTAAATTTTACTAATTATAAATTAACTTATAATATATTAAAAAGGACTTACTATAAGCTGCCTTACTGGCTTATAATAAACTTATAACTTAACTTATAGACTTACTGTAAGCCTCTATAATATATATATATATTTATTTAGTATTAAATAGAACTTAGCTTATTAGCTATTAATAAAACTTCTTTATATTAAAAAGCCTAATATATATTACTTAATTATTAAGAAATATAGTAATTAAGCTAAGCTTAGTATATATGCCTTATATTTCTGTAAATATAAAACCTATTATAGACTAGTTTCCTGTTTAAAACCCCAACCATTATATAACTATATAGGTAAAATAGCCAGGCTTATTATTATTAATAGTATAAACTTTAATTCCCTAGTCTACTTTACTTTTTATTATTATTAGTAATAATATAATATTAATCCTAATATAATAAATAATTAAATATAATAGCTAGCCTTTTTAAACTGCAGCTTAAAAAGCTTAGCTAGGCCTATAGTTTAGGCCCCTTAAGCTGCAGTTTAAAGAGGCTAATATTAAGTAAAAAGGATTAATTAATTAACTAACTAACTAATAGATTCTACTAGCTAGTAATACAGTAATTTAGATTATAGTTAATTATTTTCTATTATTAACCTAATAATCTTAAATCAAGTTTATTTAAGTTAATTAACCTTAAGGTTAGCTCTTAATAGAGCCCTTTTTTACTAATAGTTTACTGCAAACTGCCATTAGCAGTAAATAGCCTAAATGCCTGGCTTATATAGTCAATTAGTATATATCACTATAAACCCTAACCCTACCTGCCCTTATGGTTTACGGCAAAATGCAGCCAGACTAGCAACCAGGTTTAAAGGAATTAGGTTAACTTTTATATAAATTAATTAGTAAAAGCTAAATTAACCTCTACTAATTAAATGTATATATAAGGGCATATAACTAATTGATCTTATATTTAAGAATTGATAAAGTAATATTAGTAAAGAAATAGTAATTTAAAGTAAAGAAAATAGTAAATTATAAAGGCCTTATATTAGATAAAAAATATAATTAACTTACTAAAGGTTTTATTAAATAATTTAGGTCGGTTAAACTTAAGTATTTCTTTAATCTTTTTACTTATTACTATAGTATTTATAAGGTTTTATATTTCTTAAAGTCTATTTTAATTATTAGTTACTTATTAGGCTTAAAGGTTTATAATTTCTATAAATAGTTAGTAAAACTTAACTATTTTAATAGTTATATTAATAACTTACTATTAAAATAAAGTAATTTTCTTTTTTTTTTAGAAAAGTGATTTTTATTATCTTTTATAATTTAATTAATAAGGAAATTATTAATAAAAGCAGTAAGATATTATTATATAGATTAAATTAATATAGCTATTATATTTATATTACTTTATAAAATATAATATAATTTAAATAAAAGCTATAAATATATAATAATTACTTTTTAACTATAAATAAATTAAATTATATTAAGTTTATTATTAGTAGATTATATAAAGTATAATATTAAGTAGTTATTAAAATATTATATTTCTTAATAATAAACTTAATATATATTAGGTTTAATTAATATAAAGAAGTTTTATTAATAGCTTATAAGCTAAATCTATAAAAATATAAATAAATATAAACTATATATTGCTATTTATAAGGTATTTATTAATACTTTTATTAAAGATTAAAATATTAACCTTTTAGTCTTAAACTAATATTATAAAGTTCTTAGTTCTATTTTAATTAATTAAACTAAATAGACTAAAAGACATTTATTTAATTTAGTCCTAATTGGTAGAGTTTAGTAGAGAAATTTATATGGCATACGTGACGTAACCGCGAGGGTCGTAATAAGAGGCTAGGTTATAAATTATCTCGTAGCGCGATAAGGCATGACCTAACAGGAATTTGTCGCCATCTTAGGATTGGTATAAAGCTTTTTATAGTATAATGTTCTGATATTCACAGAGTTAACTCATTAAATACAGGCCACAGCCAGATCGTTTAAATAATCTATCCGCCAGATCCCTATATATATACAGCAACGCCAAGACTAAATGCGATGCTGAAAACCAAAATCTTTCTCAAACTGAATTGGTACCTGACTCCGTCATTCGATTCCGTCGGGTTTAGATCCGGGAGCGAAGCAGTTGGTGTTCCATAAAAGGTCAATGTTTCGGGCTCATGATATCCGGTCTTGCGAGGCATGTCGAACGTGAGTGTCGAGGATAAAGTCGTCTTTGGTTCTGGCTCCGGCACCTCTATAGTCTTATTCCGCTCCTTTTGCTCAGAGATAACGCTTGACGGAATTGGCGCAATAGTGAAGCCCTCGTTGCTGCATATTTCGGTAAAGTTCTGGGAATCGGCTACTACCTCCGTGAGGCCCAAGGCGTACATGCAATAGCGACACCTAGAGGAAGGAATGTGAGTACTTCTCCTTGCATCGGCAACAGCAACTCACGCTCTGCTCGTCGGAACCCATCCGGATGTGCAAATGCATTCGTAGTAATCGGCGCCGTTCTCATCGCCACAGCCGCGATCTATGTCGTTGAATGCACCGCAAATAGAGTCTTTCCCAGAGCAGTACTCGTGGGGAGTCAGTATCGAGGTTGCGGATGCCCGGGCGTACCAAGCCAGCGCTGCGCTCATGTTTGGATGCTTTTTGCCAAGATATT